ATTGCTGCAGATTAAAAAGAAAGTGAAGACACTATGATTTATATTACCGTAGGGCAGACAGACAAGGAGACAGACAGACAGAAAGTGCCAAGGCAGCTGTCAGTCCAGAAAGATGCCAGCCTCACCGCGCTGGGCAGAAACCCAGCTTGGTTAGCAGATGCAGTCCTGCCTTGGCAGCACGGAGCTCTGCGCAGGCTAATGGCCCCTATCCTTTAATCCAGGAGAAAAAAAGACAAGATAAATTACTTGGAGCAGCAAACACCAAGCCGTGCTCCGAGGCAGACACATCCTACCCCTACAGGCTGTAGCTAATGGATGGATAGAGCTAGACAGCTGGAGAAGGTCAAAAACACTCAGCCAGCAGCTTGAGTTTTCCAGCTTTGGACCAGCAAAAGCAACTGGATGTGCAGGCAGAAATCCTATCAGAAGGGGTCCTCCTGTGCGGGGAACGTTTGGGAGCTTGGTGCTGCTGCTGGTTGCCTTTCCATGCTTCCCAGCAAGCTGAGAAGGGTGATTCTGCTCGGTCATGGTCTGCCAGGCAAAATGTAGGCAACCGGTGGCCCAGACAGCAAAGACTCCCTAACACTGCGCACACAAACATCACCCAAGGCTCCTCTCCTGCAAGCCAGGGAGACTCAGCCCTTCCTGATACAGAAGCTGTCGCTCTCTTCTTGCAGATATTTCAAGAGATTTTTTTCCTGCTCTGGCAGAGGTTGGACTGGATGATCTTTTGAGGTCCCTTCCAATCCCTAATGTTCTGTGATTCTGTGATTTTCCTGTGGTAGCGTAGCGAGGACCAGGGGATGCAGGAGTGACAGCAGTGCTTGGGCTTCATCTTCGCCTCCCACCACCCATTAGAAACAACCCACGGTCAACCAGACCTCAGCTGGGACCTCTCATACCAGCCACCTCAGCCATGGTGACAAATGTCCCCTCTGTCCTCCCACCAACCAGCAGACGATTTCTCCATGGCTTCACATCGCCTCACTCCGAACTGAAGATGATAAGAGGCCGTGAATGAACAAGACTTTCATTCCCACCAGCAACAGTCAGTAACCAAAGCTTGATGTTTTGTCTGACGGGATCACATCATCTTTATGGGCATGGAGAGGGGAAGGCAGATCCAAACTTGAGCAAACGCCTCTAAATCCACCCCCAGCTCCTGGGGGGCAGCACTTAAGGGCTAGTAACACACAGGCTTAGCCAGTCTTCCTCTAACACAGGTTTAACTCAATGCACAAACCTTGTGGGAAGGCTGCTGTTTCAAAGCAACGTATCTAAAGATGTTATAGTGCTGCTGTTTCTCAATATACTCCACCAAAAACCTCAGGCTAAAATATCAGCCCAAGTTTCCTGCGGGAGGTGTCTGTGTAGAAAGGCCCTCACTGTCTTCCCCTTACTTACGATAAATTGCAAGCGTGCACATATCTTTATCATAAGCAACAGCTACTTCTGATAAGTGCTTGCTTTTGGAGCTGGCTATCACCAAAACACCCTCCAATTTTCTGCTTTACTCATTGCTATTTCCTTCTCTCGGTCTTGATCTCTGCTTCGAGGACAAGAGTTGAGGTGTTTGCAGGAGGAAAGACATGGCTCCAACTCGTATGTGGTTCATGCTCCATGGTTGGAAGCTTCCCCTTGGGATAAAATCTGACAAAAAGAAAAACCCACCTCTGACACGAACTGTTCCCTCCTGGGAGCTGCTCTGTCATTACAAGAGCGCATTTGGATGCAAGACTTCCTTTGACAAGGCAGATCTGACTAAACACGCGTCTGCTCCAGGCTTACGACACAGCCATGAACAACCTCTTGAAACAGTTAAAAAAAGAAGTCATTCCAAACACCCATCTCCTACGAGGAACAGAAACTTGATTTAGGCACAGATTGATGACGGGAGCTTTATGACTGCTGGGGAGGGGGAAGGGGAGCTAGCAAGCAACATATGGACGTGTATAAATTATTTGAAGCACCCAGAAAGACAGGGAAAATAATCATCTATATTTCTGAGACTGCTCATTTCAGTCTGCAGCCGTCTGGAGCGCAGATCTTGTGGCCAACGCTTTGTGCAACAAAACTCCCACAGACACATACGGGGTAAAGCTACAGAGGGCAGGATGGTTGCAGGCAGCTGCACCTTGAACACATTGGGAAGAAAAGCTTGCTGGCTCCACTCCTGATCCCCACTCCTGCCAGCCTCTCTCACCTGGGATTCCTATGGGCTCAGACCCTTTTTTGGGATGGTGACTCCCTCTCACCGGTGCTTCTTGTGCCGTCCTTCACAAGGAGAAACGCAGGTGTGCACACCCCTCCTCCAGCAAGAGCAGGGAAATGCCCAGACACCGATCTCATCCCTCTCGTTCAAATCCCTACTCTGCCAAAGGCTCCCTTCCCAAAACCAGTGGGGTCACTTGGCCCCTCTGTGGTTCTGTTTGCCACCTGTAAAACATGGATACCCTCTCCAGGGTAATTAAGATGATAAATGCGTTAGAGATTAAAAGGCACTCAGATGTCCCAATAACACGAGCTATAAGGATACTTAAAATAGAGCCATTCTGGGCAGCAATTAAAGAACATAATACTTATTTCTGAGTTTCAGCTTCTGCCTTCCTAATGCTGGATATTTTTGCCCATAAGAGCATTAATTCTAGCTTCCTGTGAAAATGACATTTCAAATATTCATCATCTTCCACTACCCTGCCTCTGCTACTCTGCCTTGCCATCATTAACCAGTGGCATCTGCTATATGGTTTAGGCAGTATAATTTGCGATCACAGATCTGCAATACAGATAGAGCTAATTTCTCTGTAAGTAACTACTCAGAGCTGCAAATATTTCTTATCCATTAAAAAAAAAATAAAATCAAAATGCAGATGTCATATGGAACTGCAGATCAATGAAGAAAGAGCAAGGTGCAAAAGCACGCTAGCAAACACAGAAAAATTACTTCAAGTGGACCCTAAAGTGAGGAAGAACAAAACTGTCAACGTGAGCACCACATTCCTCCTCGCAAAGGACTCCAGATGTTGATGACCCACCACAAACCCCTGCATGAAACCACAACCTTAGGACCCACAGAAGCAAGGATGAGCATAACACCAGGATAAAGCACAGATCTGGACTAATAATGATTAGACTCTTAAGATTTCAATCATATAATCTGTAAATTCTTGGGTTTACATATATATATATGAGGCACACCTCCTCTTTGCCCATAAAACAAGATTTGGAGCATAACACGCTGCTGTCATCTCTTATCAGTGGTGGCCTAGCATAAGCAGCTGGTGGTTTCAGCCAACATCTCAAAGAACCAAAGTCCACCGTAACAACCTCTGCTTGGGCAATCTGAGCCATACACTCAAAACACCACAACCCTAATGCCTCAAGATGAAAGTGTCATTGTCACTCCAAACAACTCCACACGTTTTGAATGCACACAGCAAACTACTGCACGCCCCAAAGCAGTCAAATTAGTAAATGAGTAAATTTAGGGCTTAGTGAATTGCCCTAGACCTCCTGCTGCTACTTTACTGTGGATAGCAGGAGCTCTTCGTCTTGGATGTGGGTGATAGCCGAGCACCACAGCATTAACAAATAGCCTGGGACCTCGAGGACATTTTTGTGCTGTAACACAAAGCTCCCACACCAGTTGATTTGAACCCATTCAAACCTACTGCAGTTCTCCTTGTAAAACAAACACTTAACCACAAAAGAGATAAGGAAAAATTACGACATTTTATTCATGCCCAGAAAGCCCACGTTTCCTGTCTCTCTGATGCTCCCTGAACAGTCAGTGTTCACCTACCACACACATCACAAAACAAGTAGAAAAAAGTCAAAGCCATCTCACACCCAATGCAGAGAACTCCCAAAGTACTGCCGTGTGACCCTGACAACCTCTGAAGACAAAGCATTTGAATGGGACACCAAAAGCGATCCCAAAGCATACTCAGACCTTCCTTCTGCAGAGCTGCAAGCCATCAGAAACTCTTAAAAGATCCAATTCTGTTTTATAAAGGCACAGATGACATCATCTTCTGCTTTATTTTGTCTAAATATTGCGGGTTAGAGAGTCCTCTGATGGACTGTAAAACTGACAGCCTTGTTACTGGCGCATATAAATCGCTTTTGCTCAGCTGGAGTTAATGCAGGGCCATCTGACTTCCCAGAATTGACATCTTTAATGATTCTGTTTCTCCAGCGTTTTCTCATTGACCACTACAAAAATTCAGACTGTCTTGCTCTGCCAAGCTGTTTGTGGATCAAGTCACCCGTTCTCTAGGGATCTGCAGTGTGTCAGCCATCAGACCAAGCAAACTCAATAACAACTGACCTGAGAGTAGCTACTCCAATACTTCTGGGCTCTTCTGTACTACAGATTTTAGCGTTAAATGTCAAAATTCAGAAGGCCAGAGGACAGATGCATTCCCAGGAGAAGGGCCTATGTACAAAGTATTTTAAAGACGGAAAATGTCAACCGTAAAAGTTTGGTGCTTAGCTGGTGCAGTCTCACCTTGCACTCTGTTGGGTACCATTGTCTTCAAGTCTTTTGTTTTTATGCTGTATCCCAGGTCAAGCAGAACAACTTTCCCCTTGTAAACCATATTTCAGTTGCACAGGATGGGAAATCCTTCACATCTCAGCACTATTTGGTGAAGGAAGGGGAGTGCAGAGCTCCTGCCCGGGAAGCACAGAGATGCACGCCACGGGCTGAGGCAGGGGGAGCACCGCAGCCCTGACCCCGCTGCATTTGGACCTCCAGCTCCCCCTTCCAGGGGCTGCGCCTGGGGATGTCCAGCGGTTACAAAGCAGTCTTAAGATTAAAGTCAAGTTAGTTTTAGCTTTAGAAGAAAAGCACTTAAAGGAAACTGATTTCAAAGAGGTAGCTCTAGATGAAAAGCACTTAGAGAAGAAGGGTTTCAAAGAGAAACAGTCCATGTGCACATCCAGCAGATCTAAAGCTTTATGAGCTCTTCACAGCGAGTCTGGTCTCTCCAGGCGCTTCAGCAGAACAATGTGGGCAGCTCTTCATGCCAGGTTTGGAGGAGTCCTTCTGTTCTTAACTATCCACCTCCTGCTGACATGAGCTATATGTTTTTTCCAACCTTCCTGTTCTCCCTAAGACGCCCCATAAAGAAAGACATAACTAGAACCAGGTACGGACACAACAGTAGTCCCCATGGCCAGAGAACCAGGCCAGAAACTCCCACCCGGCACAAACTGGGAAAAGGGGAAGAGCTGCACGACTGCAGCAGCATCTCAGGAAAAAGGAGCCCAGCACCACCACCAGAGCCCTCCAGAAACCCAAGCCAGATGACACTGCATCAGCCACCCTAGCCGGGATGGTTAAATGTACCAAGATCCCTGAAGAGATGTCAGCGCCATCTTCCCCTGCGCTGTACAACCCTTTGTTTCTCACACACTCTTCCTACAAGCACTGTCAGGTACCTCTTTAATCCAGCTTGCCAAAGCCAACCACAAAGTCATTAAACACTTAGAATTATCCCTTCTCCAGCAGCTCTCATCCAGCCTGATGGGATAACAGGACGTGTGAAACAGATCTGACATGGAAACCTTCCAACACGATGTTTTTCAAGCAGGAGGTAGTGGGACAGGGAGATACCAGACCTGATGCAAACTCAATCTGCCCTCAAAGAGCAACCCTCCCACAGAGATCCTGAAATATGCTCTTTGATTTGATTTAAAGGAATATAATAATGCTATAGCAGGCTGGAAACAGCATTACATGAGAAGAACTGCCAGGTTAAATCAGAATTTAACATACAGGAGAAGTGATAGTTCTTATAACACAATATATAAAAGAGTTCATGGGTTTCTCTCTTTGATAAGCCTCTCAAACCAGCTGGTTTTCCAAGAGTCAAACACAGGGACTTTCTGTATAGATGTGGTTCAGCTCTCACCAATTCACCTCAGAGGTTCCCACTGCTTTTGATGGGGCTTGGTTTGGAAACTGGGTATTGCTGGGAAACAATCCCAGTGCCCTTAGCCAAGCTGGGCAAGGCTCCTTCTAAACTCTGCCTTGTCCCACACCAGCTTTGACTTGCATCAGATGGACATCACACATATAAACACTAATAAGCTATTCCTAGGTGGAATAAATTAATCCAGTCATTAAACACAGGGCCTAGTACGTACAGAGTGAATAAAGTGTATAAAGCTTTCTAGAGGCTTTGTAGGTTTGTCTTGCTTAACACTGCCAGCATAGGGTCCCATGCCTGGACCATACACCCCTTAAAAATGCTGCTGAAGTAGCAAATGGGCCAATTAGCAACTACCCAACTCATTTTGAACTTACCTGACATATATTCCTGCACAAACACACGCTCAGGAAAAGAGAACTGAAATTTCCCCATGAATCTCATCTGAGAAGTTATTGATTTGTCCACCCTTGGAGCAAGACAAAACTAAGCTCTGGGAATGAAGGAGCAGGTCTAGAGTATTCGGAGCAGCTCTCCCCAAAATGAAAACTCAGGTCATGCTGCCTGGGACCCATCTCAGTTCAACCAGTCACCCCTGGTGCATGGGGTTTCCTCAGAAATGAACCTGCTCTGTGTTTAGCTTGAGAGCCAACCCATGAGACTTCCTGGCACGAGGGGCTGCCCCATGCTGTGAAGAGCAGGAGACGTCCTCTGTAAGGGTAAAGGAAGAAGGGATTTTTTTTCTCTTACCCAGACCCTGGTTTTGCTGCTCCCACTCGATGGTGTCGGGAACCTGGTAGGACACCCCAGCCAGCTGGGCCACAGGGTTCTCCAGGCCAGCCATGGGCTCCTGGGATGTCTCGCCTGGAAGTGTGAAACCTGGCAGCTCCGTGTCACCCTCCATGCTTTCATCCATCGAATCTATGTCTTTGTCCTCCTCATCCTCCTCTTCCTCTTCTTCTTCCTCCTCCTCTTCTTCCTCTTCCTCACCCTCTGGCAAGGGAGACACAAAAGCAACATCAGGAAAGACCCCACGAGACAGAGGGTTCATACATCTCTACAGGTGAGCACCAAGGCTGCCAGCTGATATCACTTCTCCAAAGGCAAAACCAGCTGAATTAACCTGTGCCCATTTTCTAACAGGAAATACACCCAAAGCAATTAATTTGGAAAAGCTCACCACCATGTGAAGCTGCTAAGTAACAAGAACATACTGCCATAGACTGCCACATGCATTAGTGGGAAATACCGTTATTTTGCCTCCTAATAGCAGAGTACAAACAAGCACATACACACGAACAAATACTTGAGTATGTATAACTGCAACACTTTCTGCTCAACTAATTTCAGCTCAAATGAGAACTATTTCCCTAATTTCCAATCTTGGAGGCGGCAATAAGTTGGTTCTACTCTTAACTCTTATTAGGCCCTTCACAGCTCTGGAAAGGACGCTGCTTTCCAGCCCAATGAGACCGATACAGCTGCTCCTCCATTAAAAGCATCTCGCTTTGATGCATGCTGGCAGATCAGCTCTTTGGTGTGGGAGCACAGCGGCAGTGGTAGTGAACCTCAGGAGGTTTATACCAGCACTCCTGTCAGAACAGATTTACACCAGACAAAGATATGACCAAGGAAGACTTAGCTCAGTATCGGAAAGAAGGCAGCACAGTCCATACTTCACGTGAGAGCAGATAAATGTGACACCACGGAAATCCTTCAGGGTTCTCCGCCAGAGCAGACACCCACCTTATTTCAAAGCTGACTGCACTGTTATCATATGGAGAGATACATTTTTCAGCCATATTTCATTGCTGGAATCTCAAAAGGCAACACAGAAACAACCACAGCGGATCAAACCAAAGGCCCTTGCTGCCCACATCCCATTTCTGACCACAACCAGATGTTGAACAAAGAGTGGAGCAGGGCACATGCAGAGCCAGTTTTCCTGCAGTGTCTCTTCCCAGCTTTTAGTTCTCAAAGACTCAAGGACTTCCTAAGCCACAATTTGTAGCTGAGCTATTTAATAGCCAGTAACGGAGCTACTCACCATGAAAAGACAGTATCTGGAATAATTACAAGTTTTGGACTTTTGATGGTTAGTTTCTCAAAGCAGAACATTTATGCACTTTATCTGGTTTACATGAAGCCCTGCTCAGCACTGTAGAAGAACTCCCTCCTGATGCACTCAGGCTGAGAAACCCCACCACCCTGCATCCGAGCAGCTGGTTTAGCCGAGTATCTAAGACCGTCTTAAAAACCAATGATCCAGCAAAACAAACATTTCTTACCTAGATATCCCTTTATTTCAGTTGGAGTTGTACCTCACAGAGGTTACAGACACTGCAATAAAATGGAGCAGCTGAGGTAGGACACCTATACCACGCCTGCTGTAAGTAAAGCAGGTGATGCTTCCCTCTTCTTTCTGCTGTGGGATGCAGTGGCATTCTGTTATAAAAACCACCCGAGAAACAAACTGGGGAACTTTGGGGAAGCCATTTAGTTGGTGGCTATCTGATCTGAGTAAATCTAGGGGGAGCTGGCCTCCTCCTTTTGGCCTCTACTTCACAAACAGGCACACCTAGAGAAATCAGTGCACACAATAAAACCACGGCTGTGCTGTTATGTGGCATCTCCTTCCCCTCTAATTCGAGGACTTGCTTTAAAACACCGCATGTTTTTTCCAGCTCGCCAAACAAGACAATCCCACTTGCCACCTTTCAGTTCCAGCCCTGCATCTCACACAAATGAGCTGCTGTGTGAATTTAGCTGCATCATCCTGCTACAGCATGGCTTTCAGCACCTGGAAAGGAAGGATCACTCCTGCAGACAATTACACCACACAGAGCATCTGATAGAGCTTACGGGGTTGTAGTTAGCCCCTTAAACTCTCATTACATTTTATAGGCAGTTTCTTGTCTTATAATGTCCCCATCATTTCAAATCAGCCTAAGAACTTTCCATACAGAAATGTTTCCATACAAAATGCACAGCTTCTGTAAACCAGCGAACAGCACCTGCTGAGTGCTTGCAGGACCCCTGCAAAGACACGTTAGCAGAGGCAAAAGACCTGCATTAAGAGGAACGCAGCTGTAGATGTTTCCAAACTTTAATAGCAAAGGCACTAAACAGCTTGTACACCAGAGAGAAGGAACATGAACGGAGGTTCTCCCTAGATGGACAGCCAGGAAAACCCAGGGATCAGATATTTCTCTCTGAAAAACTAGTTTGGGACAAGGCTTTTAGAAGCTTCTTGCTATTTTAGCAAGTCAAAGCAGAGATGCCCATCAGGATGTAGTTTTGCAGCAGCAGATACTCATGTCCGTACCTCCAAAGCCTAGCAGGCAGCCAAGCTGAACACCCAAATTGAAAGTGCCAAGACTACTCATCACATCGGATCATCATCAAGCTACATCAATCATCACGCAGCCACAGCATAAAGATGTGAATAACACAGCCCTTGTAGCACAACCGCTGTGAGAGGAAAAGAAAGGGCTCTTGGCTCGTTTTCTCCTCCTCTCTAGCTCATTCCTACTTCTGTAAACAGCTTTCTAACCCCCCATCCCAAAATGCCAACAGCTCGCCTCGCTGCAAGGTGCAGTGCAGAGCACCACTTGGTGGTCACAGGGAGGAAGGTACACTTCTCAAAAAACCACACACTTCACAAGCGTTGGATTGCAGAAGCAGAGGAGCAACAGGAGCCCAGCAGCCGTGGGCAGGATGCACATAACACTTGGGAGGCTCATGAGATGGAAAATGGGAGAGCACCACGCAGCTGAACCTCAAGCTGGAGGTTTGTGCTTCACAGGAGTCTTCTACAAGACTCCTATTTTTCCTGTTGGCACTTTTTGGCCTTTGAGAGGCCTCAGCAGCAGCTTGGAAAGAAAAGAAACAGAAGAGACTGCAAGTAGCAAGGACTGAAAGTGCAAAGCCTGGCAGATTCAGAAGGCATTCGGATTTTCCTGTGCATTTGCATCCCATTGTGAACTATTGTGTGTATCATGCTGGTACATACCCTTCAGTTTTGGCATCTTATAAAAAAAAAAGAGAAGACCATATGATGAAATGCTAGTGCCGCACGGTCAAGACACCAGTCTCCAACTAAGAAAAATGCAAGTATAAAGTTTTCTTGGCCACAGACATGAATCCATCTAATCTATAGATCTTGATATGGTTCGGATAAGCCAATTTTGTTTCTCTCTTTCAATGCTCTTGCTTGTGATGGGCCATGTAGACCTGTCAAGGAGGGATGGTGTCCTGTCTGCTCTCCCTGTAACACCAGGAGATTTCAGTGCTAAAACACTTATAGTCCAAGTAGACATCTGTATTTTCTACTGCAGTTACAGTAATGTGAGAGTACTCCAGGGCAGAGTTAAAGACTCATCTCCAAGAGTGAAGAAATCCAAAATCTGTCACCCTTTGACAGGCTAAATAAGCACTGTATCCTGCAAGACTCTGCTTTGCCTTCATTGAAACAGCAAAGAAAAAAAAAACCCAAGACACTTAACACCTCCCTGCTGTGACAACTGTATAACCTAAGAATGAAGCAAGCAGCAGGAACACCCAGGAAAATGAGATTCCCAGCTCACACGTCAAAGATTTCAGTTTTGAAGGACTTGACAACCTTGTAACAGGCTTTCAAATTCTCAGGTTTAAAAAAAGCTATAGGAGACCAGGAAGAAAACAGGTTTGAGACAAAATAACAAATTTCACAGAGTTTTGGGGGTTCCAGCTTTATTATTTGAAATAGTTTTATCACCAGGAAGAGCCAAGGCTGGGCTTTACCATGGGGTGCCAGACTGATCCATTAGCAGCATCGGTGCTATCTGTAGGATGGGATTTGCCATTGCAGGGCAGCAAGAGCTCCCTATGCTTGCTCCAAAACCAGGTTTTGCACTACAAAAGCACACACAACCACGATGACTTCTGCTGCTCAGCAGAGAAATGAGACCACCTCACACCTCCTGTGCAAGGCATTTCCTGACTCAGCAAGAATTCACCTGCTGCAGCTGAAGCCACCATTATCATAACCTTGCTGCAGACAATGGAGTTAGACTGGGGCCTCTGTCTGCAGCTGAAGAAACCTTCACTGATGCAGGACATTTCAGTCTTTAGATACTTTCCATTAACATTTGCAAACACTTTCTACTCCTCAGAAGATTCAAGAAAGCATCACTTGTCAGGTCAAGCACGCAAGAGAAATAGCTGGCTGTGCCCTGAGCTGCAGGAGTCTCTCATTACAAGGTGACAGATTCACTCACAGTCGCAGACTGAATACAAACAGGCAAAAAAAAACCACCTAAAAAAAGGAGGTGGCAGGACACAACCTGGAGTTCTCATTTTCTCTGTCCTTTCCCTTCTCAGCCTCCCTGACACCAAACTCAGAGGACAATGACATCTAGACAGGAACGCAGAGCATCGTTATGCTTCATGACAGTCTGAGCTGTGATTCTATACAGCACCCAGTGCTG